TTTCCAAAGGTCAATATCATATTGGTTTTAAAACCCCACATTTTTGAAATATTTTTGGGAGACTAATTAGGGAAATTAATAAAAAATTCCATTTTTATACAGCGGCTTATAATATTGTACATATATTGTTCACCAGTGCATCCATAATAGGCAGCTTCATATGCACAAGATCTAAAAGTTAAGTCCTAAAATCAAAACCGTATCCATGGATATATAATATATAATCCAAGGGTTTACTTAATACATCTGCAGCTTTGTTCAGCATGTAATAGACCGAAGTGGACAATCTTAGAAGTATGGCAACCATCATTTGGGCAAACTTAACATTTTAATGTTCAAAAGTAGCGAATAATTTGATTGCCGTTGTTATATAAATGTATATACTTTCCGTCCTATTCAAAAGCTAGTAATGAACACGTCTGCATAAGGTTCCAATATATAATTGTGTTACCCCTTCCGCGATTCCCATCACTTGCAAAAAGGTAGAAAGGTATGGCACATGTTTTTTTATACAATCACAAAGAAAATAGTGCCATGCTTTTTTCTACAGGGTGGCAAGATGGCTTCCAAGAAACGTACCACTCTCTACCCATTCAAACGACTTTGATTGTGGTGCTTATATGGTAGAATGGATTTTACACAGGCACAAAGACAAGTTGAATATTCTTAACAAAGAATGCAATTTATCTTAGACATTTGCATATTCAATGCAATGATACAGGTAAGGCATGTTAAATGGGTCAGGTGTGCCTAGTTCTGTCATTTTCTCGTGTATAATCTTTCTTATCCATGCTAGCTTATTTAGTTAAGGGGAAAGTCTACCCGCGTGTATACAACCTACCGCCGAGCAAAGACCCGAAGATGTCTGAAAATGTAGGGGATACGTTAATAAACTCCTGTTTATATATTGAATTTCTAAATTATATTTTGAGTGGTCTAAAATGTGCAAAGTTAAAAGACCCGTTATGCTCATTCGCTCTCAATTTGAATAAGATAAGATATCAGTAGAACGGCTACTAAAATGAAAAAGATTGACCAGTAGAGATTAGGAACTTGAAACATATTCATTTTTGTCCATAAATATAAAAAATAATTTCGCGCTATTCCTATCCTCCAGTGTTAATAGCCTAATTTCTGTTGTGTCAGTCTGGGTCAAAATGTTACAATAATGTTACAAACGAGGAACCCTTCTAATAAAGGCAATTAAATCAAGGTTTGAAAACTCCCAAAAGTAAAGATATTTTCAGATCTTTAAAATGTTACTCATCGATCACATCGGGTCCGATGTCTGATAACATCGGATCTTTTAGGACAAAGATTATGTGAATATTTGGATGTTCAAAAGTGCTATTTTGACCTCATAGTTTGAAACTTAATATATTATGCATATGACATGCATTTACCGACCCAGGTATGTCTCATGTATGTCTCGTTATCAATTAAAGCGAATATGAATGAGAAAACAAACCGAAAACCATTATACGTTTTACTTATCTCTTTATTTGGACATACATTTCAACTTTAATTCTAGGCAAATTCCGCCTACTAGAACATCTTAGTAACGATTCTAACCATCCAAGGGAATTGATAGTGGCCGAATATTACCTTTATTGTCCATTTTTCTATGAGATGTAGTTTACCAAACATTGGATTGACGGTATATGCGTGTCTTACTCGGCGGTAGGTTGTATATACGTTGGTAGACTTTCCCCCAGTGTAGAACATCTTATTTTCTTAACTGCTAACATCGTAAGTATAAAGGAAATATGTTTACGTCAACTGTTAATCAAGATCAAAGATCAAGATCTAGCTTGAATCTTGTGATTTGAAACATTTTGAAATCCAGCTCTGTTGTGAGTACAATTTCTAAAAATTGGTATTTAATTTTTATCAAAACATAGAGTGGTGAACTCGTGTGAATTACTGAGATATTGCGTATCACGTGACATTCGCTGTCAATGGTGTCTGAAGTTTTCTCCGATTAAGCCGGAAAACGAATATTTGTATATCTATACTTTGTTAACAGCGTTAAATCTCCCCCTACAGAGAGGGTCCATGTTTTAGGCTAGCCCCAAAAGCCAATCTAAAATTCCTGTCTAATTCCTTCATTATCGTTACCTTTGAATTACTGATGTGTCCTAAGACGCTCCTTACGACTGATATTAAAGTTTCTTCCGATTTGCGAATTCAACTGACGGCTGGTGGATTAACATACTATGTTATGGCAAGCTCTTTCAAATATGAATGGTAAAGTGGCGGGTAATATTCTTATCAAAATGAATTGGTCATGAAACAGTAAGTTAAGCCATCAGCCGAAAACGGAGATATTAAATAATTGCTAAACTTTTTGAACCACGCAGTATCATGGTATAACTGAGAAGCCCATTCGGGAATCGTTTTATACGATATTACATACTTGCCCTCTGTATAAACCCCAAATCCAATCCCACCTAGTAATTAACCTCTAACTATTCCATATGTTTTCCAAGAGAAATGATAGAAAATGAGGAGAATACTTGCAATCGTATTGACTAAGATATATAAAAATCGTAGTAATTGGAAAAATGTATGGACATGTGTACGGAATGATCACATTGAGCTGGTTTTATTTTCGCGGAGATTTTGAACTGGCCGTTTTATGTGCAGAATTGTTAAAATAAAGTTTTTTGTTGTTTTTTTAATTGATTTTTATTCCAGGTTTAGCAGCATTACAATTTAATAAATACAAATATTCAATATAAAAAGGTTCTACATTGATTTTACAATAAATCGCAGGTATTTCTGCCAAGAGCACCACCAATAGATAGAGTATTCAGTTGTTGTCACATTTCATGTAGATTATTTGGATATATATACAAGATCCTCCTAGACAAATTCAAGTAATAAAGTTTATAAGTTCGATTTTTGATATGATTATTGATTTATATTAAAATAATAAGAATGTTAATTAATAATTGGGAGGGGCAGATGAGTAATGCGCATGCGCATCGACGCATTTAAATTGCAGCGTAACACCAAATAATTGCTTCGTTAGGCTTTGCTTGTATTCGCGAATGTAACTTTCGGCTGTCGGCTACCAGATTAACCTACTTCTTTATGGGAAACTCATTAACTTAAATATGAATAGTACCTGCCACTACTCCATCCATATTTAAATTAGTTGGTCATAAAATAGTAGGTTAATCCGGTAACCGATAGGCGTTAGTTGCATTCGCGAATAAAAGGTTGGATAAAGCCAGTGTGGACACAATTTTTTCTCTAACCTTCGTTACAAAAATGCTTCGTTAGACTCAACCCGGTAGTGTAGCAGGTAACAGTATAGGCCTAATCTGTAAGTTATTCTGACTTTTCAGCTTATGACGAAAGTAAGGTTAAGATTTGGAGACAGAATCAAGTGAATATTTTCCATTTTCCAAATGCAAATGTCTCGTTTTCCAATTGGGTTTTGAGAATTGCCCTCTATAACTAATCTTCAGAATCTTCAGTAAATTGAAATAGAAAAACAATTCGAGAAGATTATTTGGTATTTATTTCTAAAATACAAAATACCTACATTCATATGAAATAGATACATCTGTAAATACATAAATTTTCAAATTCAATAGAATAAGATAAATATCAAATTCGTAACTATGGACAATCATAAAAGTGGTCGAGTTACACTCCTCTTAAAAATGATAATCACACCACAGGTCTTCTTTGTATAATTGTAGTTTTAAACTAAACTTTTCTCCGCATTTTATTAAAAGCCGTCAATATACAAGCCTATTACAGTTGCATTGCATTTAAGACATATTTAGGCCGGAAACAATATAGCAGTACACCCCCCCCCTTTAAGTTCGGCAAACGGAAACCCCTTCACCTATTAAGATTAAAAAATATTAAAAATATTAAGAAATTAAAAAAGATTAAAAATCATCTAAAAAAATCCAAACTTTGAAATCAAGCAACAAAATTGAGATCAGAATTTGATTTCCTATCCAATAAGATATTCCGGTCTCCAAACTTATTGAGGGGAGTGTTCTTAGATATGTTACTATTATACAAGGCTTCCAATGTCTTGCAAGTGTTGCGGGACAACCTGTACAGATCATAGACGTGTGTGTATCAAAATATACTAGAATTCGTGTGAATGGTGACACTTATAGGTTTGGTTTATATGATCTATTAGAATTACATCTAAGTATACATTAAGAAATATAAATATACGTATATGTAGTGAAAATCCTAAGAAGATTAAAATATTTTGAGTAGTAGCCTATTATATATGTATTTGTGTGTTTTTGGCTACAGTCGTTGTAAAGTTTTCTATTTTTTAAATGTTATGGCACAATCCTCAGACTATACTTTGTTTTGATATTTTAAAATTGATACAACTTCACCCTTTACTTTTGATGTTTAAATCTCTTAATTTGGGTTGTTTGTTGTCTTTCACAATGTATTTTAATCAACCTTTTATATTCGTCAAGAATGTGATGGGATATATGTGATATATAAAATATGTGTATACTTGGACTTTTCAAATGTTGCTCTTTGTGTTTTGTCATAATGCACAAGGGAAGTCAATAAGTTAAAGGAAACATTTTACAACATATAATTTATAAACATTAGTAATCCTGAGCTCGTTAACGTGTATTAATATAATATAGTCAGTAACTCTCTGATGCGTTTTTTCACTATTTGATGATGATTTAGAAATATTCGCTCTTATTGTTTTGATTTCAAATGTTGCCCTTTGATAAGCAATGTTTTGTAATTGCTTGTATATTTCAAAATTACGCCTATTACATCATAACTAGAGTGTATCAATTTACGAAACCTGAGTCCTATTTATATTATTCCTTTCACAGATTCAGGAAGTTTAGCTACAAGCCTCTGTGACCCCCACCCCCCCCCCCCCCTCTAAATCACTACACAGCTCACACTGTTGTAGTGGGGGTCACAAAAGCTAGTGGCTAATCTAAGATTCACGTGTATCATTACAGTAAAACTCATCTAATGTGAACACACTTTGACACGGCAAAAGTCTAGAGGCGCTCTATAATGAATGTCATTGAAAAATGACGCCCGTGAACAAGTGGCGATCCTTTTACTCAGAGTTATTCCTAAAGGCTAATTAGCATGTGCCACGCCCACTTTTGTCTTTTTGGTGTCTATGAGGAAATATCGTGATATGTGACAATTTATATTAGGTGTTCAAGTTAGAAGTTTTACTGTATATCGTTAAATATCAGTCTAATATGTTTTATCATAGGTGTCCTTATTCTTGTAATTTCCAACATATCCACTTCCGACCAGAATGTTTTTTCGGCCTGCAATTCCTTTCCCTTTGCCTTCTTCATCAAATCGTTCCTTGTGACTCCCCGTGTAGCCCTTGGTGTCTGTTAGGCGGTCGACATCTCCGACCTTCTTAGCGACTTTCTGAAAGCAGTACGTATATGCTTATGAATTTGACACGTTACTACTTTATTTCATTTCAAGATAAACTCTCCTCCAACTGGTAGTCCACGTATCTACCCAGTATTGAACTTCGGTTTAGAATTGTTTATCAAAACCTATTTATGTTTGACGATGTTAAAAATCATAAAAGTGTGAATTTCCGCGGCACTATTATTGTTATTTAGTGGATTCAAAAAATGAGAGGCTTTACTTGGGTATATACAAGGGGCGATCCATATATTCTGATAAAAATGCTCTCATTTTGTGACTTTTTCACATATCCCTCTCATTTTTTCAGAAAATGTAGATTATGTAATGACACATACAATGCTAAAATATTATAGGTATATCTTAAATCAATTTTGAAATAAGGTTGCCATGGTAACCTGTATTCAAGGTAGGCAGGTCAGTTAATAATTATAATGTATAAAATAGATAAATTTGTTGATTTAATCATTCCTCGGTCCCTATTTTAAGCAGATCAAACACATCTTCCGGTCATTGTCAACTATTTGTTGAACTGTTCCATACCCCTGTTTCCCTTGTTTGCTAATTTCTACAGTGGGATAGTTCTCTCTTCATAAGTTGCATCTCAATTTGTCGTTGCTTTATTCTCTGTCCACAAGCTCTTCTTGCAACCAGATTGTGGATGATCTTCAACAGTTACCACGTCTTCCTCTTTACAATAACACCTATAGATTCTTTAAGCAGATGTAACACCTTGCCCATACATTTAACAAGTTCATATGTCTCTGACAGTGTCCTCTTACTTATTCTTGATAGTACATAAAATCTAATGGTACTCCTAATATATCTGTTATTAATGTCACACTCTGCATCAGCCGCAATAACCTAATCTAACATTTTGATTTTTGGTGTGTCTCATGACATGTAATGTTAACTGGCCAGTTCTGTCATACAATGCTATTTTGAGTTGTTGCGATGTTATAGTGAGCACAAATGAACTTTTGTTCAGCAACAAACAACGAGCAACAATACCAAACTTTTTTAGAAAAAATGTTTGATTTCCGCATGCTTTAAAGTAATTAAAATAACAAGTTATTATGATATTTTATATGTTTTAATTTGATTGACCTGCCTACCCTTAATACAGGTTACCATAGCAACCCTATTTTAAAATTAATTTAAGATATTGCTATGATACTTTAGCATTGTATGTGTAATTATATAATCTACATTTTCTGACAAAATGAGAGGGATATGTGAAAAAATCACAAAATGAGAGCATTTTTATCAGAATATATGGATCGTCCCTTGTACAAAAACTATTCGCCCGAAAACCCCTTTCTGCTACTAATATATATTTTACTTTTACAAGCGGGACTCCTGGATACAACATACATGATTTCATTTATTTCAAATAGCTTGAGGATAATTTCTGGAGCCCTGCGTTCAGAGTACGGACCCCCCAGTTAACGCACTTACAGTTGCATTGTGTGTTTTTGGTCCATTCAACTCTATTTTATCTTTAATCGCTTGGACTTGGACCCTTCAACTTGCTCGGGCGTATAAAATTTATTGCAATATAGAGTTGTTTCATCATACAAAGATTCACCATTTCTGCAGATCAACGAACAAAACGATACTTTTGGACGACGAAGATCTTGTTCTATAGTTTCTATATCCAATAGACTGAATTTCCCATATCCAGAAATTAGTACAGAAAATCGACTTATCTCCTATTGCCACTATTACTGTGATTAATTACTTATCATCACCAACATCGTTAAAAATGAAAGTTATACTTTTTTTAATCATTTTATTTAACCTAGAAGGTAACAGTTAACAAGTACCATTATAACCCTCTATGGTTCTATAATAAATACATTACAATAGCATGTAAACTTAAATAAAACGTAAGTAAATATGTCAGATGAATCTCTGGTTGTGTTCAATGAACTTCTGTACGTGAGTGAAAATAGTTAAATTATCGTTGAAGGATATGGCATCACTGCCATGTATAAGTAATTGGATTTTTGAATGTTTTGCTAAGTTCCCAGTGTTCCCAATATCTCTCACTAGGGTGGCACGTGGGGCAGCGTAAAGGGGACAGTCAAAGAGAAAATGAGAGTTATACTGAAAGTTATACTTTTATTCTACTATTCACTATAAGGGCCAGCAGTTCGCCATATAGCGCGGCATTGTATATATTACAGCATATGCAGCATCCAAGCTGGAAGGCTATACATGTACATACTGTCACTGTACATCAATTACTTGTGTCCCTGATACTGGATTGATTTAGAAAAGAATGCCTTACATGAGACTAAATTCTATCCAAGTAACTTTATTCACATTTAGCCAGTTAAAATACGCATAAAAAGGGAAGAAATAGGAAAAAGGACTGGGAGAAATTCATAACACACTAAAATAATCTGATCTTATCACTCTGTGTTTTGGGTCTGCATTTGTAAATGCCTGTATTCTACTTATCTCTGGTTTCTCAGGTTACAGTGTGAGGAGCATTGCGATATGAGAGCAACAATCGTTCAAATTTAATGCGAGTAGAACCCGAATCATGACGCGCGGCTCTTAAGGCTTGTTTTAATGACTGCACGAATCGTTCTGCTTGGCCATTTGGGGATGGTTGTAAAGGGGCACACTGACTTGACTTGTGAATGATTCCGTTGCATTGTAAAAAATCTTCAAATTCTGCGGAAGTAAATTAAGTACCGTTATCTGAAACACAGATCTGTGGAAGTCCAGTGCGACTAAACAAACTCAGCAATGTGTTTATGGTACGTTTCAGCTGTTATCGATGGCATATCAAAAACTTCCGGCCATGCATCAACTACTACTACTAGATATGTATGGTTTTCGAACGGACCGGCAAAATCAATATGTATACGTTCCCAAGGATATGACGCAGGAATTCATGGATGCAATGGTGATAATGATGGTTTATTTTGGATCACTTAATTGGCATGGTTCGCATGATTTGGCTACTATCTCAATTTGATTATCAATGTCTGGCCACCAAACGACCTAGCAACTGCTTTCATCTTAACAATAATTCCAATGTGACCCGTAGGACTATGTATTTCCTCGAGAATTGCTTTCCAACATTTAGAAGGTATGATTACAGGCGATCCTCATAATAGACATCCCTGTTCAACTGTGAGTTCATGTCTTCTATAAAAGTATGGTTTCAGAACACTGTCAGATTCCGGTAATTTCCTTGGCCAACCATTTAAGGTATATTTCAGAGCCTTGGAAAGAACAGGATCCCTTTGTTGTGCCTGTTTAATTTGCTGACCTGACAATGGTAACATTTCTAAGTGAAAGACATGAGCTATTTATTAATATTTTCAATGTCAGAGGGAGGTCCATAAGGTAGACGTGATAAAGCGTCTACGTTCGCGTTTTCTTTGCTTGTGCAAAATTTGATTTCATAGTCAAATCCTCCAAAATAAGCATTGATATAAATGGTTTCAGACATGTATTGTAATGTATTGTTTATAGGAGTCTCAGTGGACTCAGTTAAGATGATGTTAACAATAACGTTTATCAGTTCTATGTCATTTTGTTGTTACTTATTTGGCCTACAAGTCCTTTTTGGCTCACACAGTGATTATTATTTATCGTGCTCTGGGACTTATATCACATAATTAATTATGACTGGTTTAAGAGAAACGTGTGTTCAAAAAGTTCGCCATATCGATACCCATTCTTTAAATTAGATTAGATTACTAAAAGATTCTGCAGCTTCAATTGACGATATAAAATCTAAATTATAAAATCACTCAATGAAATTTTAGCAGCTCCACTTGCACACATTTTCAATGTATCAATTTCTACAGGTTTTCCACATGAACCTAAAATCGCTAGAGAATTTCACTAACTACAGATCAATTTCTATTTTAAGTGTTTTGCGAAAATGTTGAAAAACTTATGCATGATAAGGTAATGGTATTTTTTAAAAAAAACATGAATTACTCTATTAACGGCAATATGGCTTCCGAAAAAAACATTCCACATATATGGCTCTTTTAAATTTTATTGAAAACATAAGAACATGTTTAGCAATCCGAAACAAGCATTGGAATATACAAGGGGCAATCCATATATTCTAATAAAAATGCTCTCATTTTGTGATTTTTTTTCACATATCCCTTTCATTTTTTCAGAACATGTAGATTGCGTTATTACACATACAATGCTAATATAATTTAGCTATATCTTAAATCAACTTTGAAATAAGGTTGCCATGGCTACCTGTATTTAGGATAGGCAGGTCAGTTAAATTATAACGTCTAAAATAGATAAATATGTTAATGTAATCATTCCTCTCCTCGGTACCTATTTTAAACAGGACAAACGCATCTTCCAGTCATTGCCAACTATTCATTGATCTGTTCCATACCCCTGTTGCCCTTGTTTGATAATCTATACAGTTGGATAGCTATCTTTTATAAGTAACATCTCAATTGCATAGTGTTATTCTCTGTCCGCAAGCTCTTCTTGCAACCATATTATGGATGATCTTCAACAGTGACCATGCATTCCGCTTTACAATACTACCTATAGATTCTTTATGCAGATATTACACTTTGCCCATGCACTTAACGAGTCCACGTATGTCTCTGACATTGACCTCTTACGTATTCTTGAAAGAAAAGAAAATCTAATGGTATTCCCTAATGTATCCGTTAATGTCACACTCTGCATCAGCCACATTAACCTCATCTGACAATTTGATTTTTGGTGTGTCTTATAACATGTAATGTCAATTGGCCCATTCTGTCCTACAATG